GGAGGACGCGAAGGGATGAGGAGGAGGAGGAGGAGGAGGAGGAGGAGGGAGGAGGAGGAGGAGGAGGAGGAGGAGGAGGAGGAGGAGGAGGAGGACGCGGTGGGAGGAGGGCAGGGAGGGATCGCAGCCGTCCCCAGGCCAGCAAGGGCGCTGGAAGCTGGTGAGCGGCCTCATGGCGTCACTCGCGGGGGCGCGGAGGTGATCGCGCGAGCCAGAGCGGCTGCCCTTCCTTTGATAAAAGACGACCTTGGGGGGCGCGAGGGCGCCCAGAGAATCCCACTTCGCGCACCACGTGGTGACCTAGCTTCCGTGCTTTCTCTCCTCCTCCCGATCCTCCTCCCTCCTGTGCTTGCTCCTGGCACCGTCCATACTTCTATCATGTTTTTTTTTCAATTCATTCTCCTTCTGTCCATTGCCCTGCCTTCTCGATCCGCCTCCTCTTCCTCCTCCTCCTCCTCCTCCTCCTCCTCCTCCTCCTCCTCCTCCCCCCTTCACCTTTTCCTCCGCTTCTTCCTCAGCCATACACGTGAATAGATGTCTTAACCCATACCGTGCCACGAGTATTGGCCCACCGTTGGGCGTACTTCTGCAGCCATCGTGGATGGTGTGGGCCACATGGTTATTTTTTCTACCCGCAAGAGTCTGTTTCCTGCCTTATCGGAGTAGATTTGCGAGCCATGAAACATTTAATCAGAACTGGGCATCTTCCAGCTCGAGGTTTGGAGAGGATGGGAAAGACAGGAGGAATCCATTACTTGAGGCATAATTTTCACAGGTCAATGCCTTTTGGCCGATAGTTTCTTGATCCTCGATGCTCTTCGCTCAGTAAACGACGAGCGAGCTTGTGCCAATCTCACACAGCCCGTATTGAGTGGAACCGGCTATCAAACTTCACAGCAGCGTCCAAATCCTCCAGGCTATGCCATCGGCCAGCACACAAGCAATCCCTTCGCCTTTCGCCTTCGTGCGGACTGACAACTTCAGTCGCAAGTTAGACGATACGCACTGAGCGTACTTGTCCACAGCTCGATGTGTTGGGGTGACTCAGATGCCTTCGTGATATGGTGGCTAAAATTGCATTGCCTTGACCTCATCGAGTCCCCGTGCCTCCAGCAACGCACCTCAAGCGGCAGGTTATAAGTCCTAGACCTGTTAGTTTCACCGTCATGCCCAAGATCCGGTAGAATCGGCCACTGCACGGCCAGGCAGTTCCTGCGCACAGTATCATCTGTTCTTTCCCCGCCTCTCCTGCTTCGACTTTTTGCCAGTGTGCTTTTGTCCGAAGGCCTCCCGGCGAGTGGCCATGCGCAGGCACGTGCCTGCGCATGGCCACGCGGCGCACGCCCGTCGCCTCCGATTGGAGCTCCCCGAGGTCGCGCGCTCGCCACTGTCGAAGGACTGGCCGACCCGGCGTCGGTTGCGACACTGGGAGGGAGGCCCCACTTCATCTTTGTCGCGTCTGCGAGCACCGTGACCCTTCCGCTTCTGCCAGCCTCGTGCGCCGGCGGCAGGCCAGGGGCCCGTGGGGGGTCCGGCTACACGGGAGGGCATTGGCGCGGGCTCAGTGCTGAGCCCTGGCGGCGTGGCGTCGTCTTGAGTTTCGCCTCCCTCGGTCATGCCGTCCTGTCCGCGCCGCTCGTGCCAGTACGCCCAGTTCAAAGTCTTTTGCCGCTGCTATCTTGGCCCCTTCCGATGGTGTAGTCAGGGCTCTGCCGTGAATTGTTGGATTCCTGGGCCGCTGCCCTGCTCTCCCTCTCTCTCCCTCTCTATCTCTCCGCAGCCTTCTGGCTTCGTGCAGGTTGCGCCTCTCTCTACGCAGGTGGGGTCCCCCCCTGAACCCGTCATGGTGGCCCTGCTGGCATGCAATCTCGCCCTGGCCTTCGCGGCCCTTGCCACTCTCGGAGCGAGGGCTTACGCAGGGCTGGCGCTCCCGGGCTGACCCGGGCGCGGCGGGAGAGCAGGGCCTCGCACCCTGCTCGGGGCCCCCAACGTGTCCCAGAGTACGGATGGATCCTGCCCCACGGACCCCCCCCCCGCATGCCGTGCGGAGGAGGAGCTCGGGGAAGTGAGCCTCAGGACTCATGCAGGGCTTGTTTCGATTCCTCCGATTCGATTCGATTCGATTTTGATGGATTCCGATTCCGATTCGATTCGACATCGGATTCCGATTTAGGATCCGATTTCTCAACGCAGGTTTGCTGGCCTGCCGATGTATACCGCTTCGATGTTTCCCGACTCGGCTGCCGATTTTCGCCGATCCGATTCATTTCGATCGCCGATTCGACTTGTCGATTCGATTCTGGGCTCTCCTGCTCATGCGCTATCGCAGGCCCCGTCCAGCCCGGGCGGGGAGAGCGGACGGATCCTTTCCGGAGGCACGGCGCAAGGTGGTCCCTCCCGGTCGAGCCCCTCGGAAGGCCGGCAGGGGGCGCGGCGAGGCCCCAGAGGTTCCCATCCCAGGCCGGAAGGACGCGCGCAGGCCCCAGGGCTCGCCCACATCGAGTGGGCTGGGCCGCCCCTCCCTCTCGCCGGTATCGTTGAACCGATCCCCATCCCCATCCCCATCCCCTTCGAGACCCCCACAGAATTACCACCCCAGTTGGGGATACACCCCTCGAAACCCGCAGGGAACGACCTATATCCCCATCTAGGGGGGGTACATCGTCCAGTGGGGCCCAGGCCACGCCGCTGGGGATGGGGATCGGTTAAACGATACTCATCTCGGGCCAAGGACGTGGAGGGGGGATTGGAAGGCAGTGAGAAGGATGCGCCTTCCCTCGCGCCAGCCAGCGCGGCGCGGGAAGGAAGGCGGAAGGAGCAGCGCCCTCGGGAGCAGCTGGAGCGCTCGCGCCAGTAGCGCCGCCAGCAGCTGGAGGCCTCGCACCAGAAGCACCTCCGACAGTTGGGGGCGACACCTCAGAGGCCTCGGAACGCTCCCGCAAGCGGCGCTGGGCCCGCGCCGCCAGACGCCCCCACCCGAGGCGCGCATCCGATTTGGCACACCCCCTCGCACGCTTCGTGGCCCCATAGCGAACTCCGCCGAAGTCCCCAGCGGCACAGTCCGCGTGGCGTACCCGCGCCCGACTCGGCGCACCCCTCACACGTTTCGTCGTCCCATAGGGAGCTCCACCGAAGGCGCCAGTGGCGCAGTCCGCATGGCGCACCCGCACACTACTCGGCGCACTCCGCATACGTTTCGTCGCCCCATAGGAAGCTCCACCGCACATTCCGCATGGCGTCCCGGTACCCTATTTGGCACATCCCTCACACGTTTCGTCGCACCATATGGAAGCTCCACCAAAGGCCGCATCGGCACAGTCCGCATGGCGTACCCGCATCAGATTTGGCACGCCCTTAACACGCTTCGTGACTCCCATATGGGAGCTCCGCCGAAGGCCCCAGTGGTACAGTCCACATGGCATGGTTCGCCTTAAAGACGCTCTTGGCGTTTTTTGAGCGTTTTCTACTTTGGGCTCTTGACAGGCTGAAGACGCTAACAAACACGCTACGTTTTGAAGCGTCGTTTCTAGGGCATTTTTTTCTTGCGTTTTAAGTCAGGCTGGAAGCGCTAAAGCAAGGTTTGACATCGCTAAAACAACGCATCACTTTTTTTGGCGTTTTTAGTTTTTGGTTGAGGCCTGAAAACGCTAAGCAAAATGACTTCCAGGACGCCCAGCTGAAAACACTAAAAAAAAACCCTGGGCATATTTAAGGCGAGCCAAGCACAAGGCGTACCCTCACGCGTTTCGTGGCCCCACATGGGAGCTCCGCCGAAGGCCCCAGTGGCACAGCCCGCATAGTGTACCCTCATCCGACTTGGCACGCCCCCACGCGTTTCGTGGCCCCACATGGGAGCTCTGCCGAAGGCCCCAGTGGCACAGCCCGCATGGTGTACCCGCATCCGATTTGGCATGCCCCTCACACGTTTCGTGGCCCCACAGGGAGCTCCACCGAAGGCCCCAGCGGCACAGTCCGCATGGCGTACCCGCACCCGAGTCGGCACACCCCTCACACGTTTCGTCGCCCTGTGGGGAGCTCCACCGAAGGCCCCAGTGGCACAGTCCGCATTGCGCACCCGCGCGCTACTCGGCGCACCCCTCAAACTTATTGTGGCCCCATAGGGAGCTCCACCGAAGGCCCCAATGGCAGAGTCCGCATGGCGTACCCGCACCCTATTCGGCAACCCTCTCACACGTTTCGTCGTGCCCCATATGGGAGCTCCACCGAAGGCCCCAGCGGCGCAGTCCGCATGGCGTACCTGTACCCGATTCGGCACATCTCTCACACGGTTCGTAGCTCTTAAAGGAAGCTCCGGTCTAGGCCCCAGTGGCAGCGCCCGCGTGGCGGACCCGTCCCGCTTCGGCACACAATTCGCAAGCTTCGTGGCCCCATAAGGAGATCCATCGAATGCGATACTCACAACGACTGTACTCACGACTGCATACGGGTGGGTCCTTCGCCAGGATAATTCATTATCCGCGTTTTTGGTGTCGACATTATCGAATGTCCTTCGGCCCATCCCGCCAACGTGCACCAGTTGTGTGTCATATGCCTCTTGGGTGTTCGTTGGGATGTCGTGGGAGGCCCCCCGGGTGTCTCTCAGGGGCAGTTTGAAGCCTCTTGGGGGCCATTTGGAGCCTCTTGGGGGCCTCTTTGGACCTTTTGGGGGGCTCCTGGGGCCTCCTGCGGGTATTTTGGGGCGGAAAGCTGGCATTGTCGTTTCGGGCTCCCCCTCTTGGGCCCCACTCGGGCTTGTCTTGGGGATCCCGTGGGGCGTCTAAGGCGCCTCTTGGGCCGTGTTGGCCTGTTGGGCTGTCTGGGGGCGATCCTGGCCGCCGCCCGTCATTGCCTCTTCGCGGTGGACTGCTCTCGCCGCCTCGTCGCCGCCCGTCGCCGTCTCGTGGGTCGCGCGTCGTTCAAGGGAGGGAAAACCACCCAGACCAGACAATTGGCGTTTACCAAACGGCCCTGGGCGTTTGCTGAACAGCCCTGCCCTGCTC